AGTATAGTCTGAAGACTGGGAGCCTGATTCCTCCAGCTCCACTTTTCGTTCTCAAGATTGCTTTGACTATTCGGGGTCTTTTGTGTTTCCATACAAATTGTGAAATTTTTTGTTCTAATTCTGTGAAAAATGCCAGTGGTAGTTTGATAGCGATTGCATTGAATCTGTAGATTGCTTTGGCTAGTATAGTCATTTTCACAATGTTGATTCTTCCAATCCAAGAACATGGTATATCTCTCCATCTATTTGTATCATCTTTAATTTCTTTCATCAGTGTCTTATAATTTTCTGCATACAGGTCTTTTGTCTCCTTAGGTAGGTTTATTCCTAGATATTTTATTCTTTTTGTTGCAGTGGTAAATGCGAGTGTTTTCTTGATTTCACTTTCAGATTTTTCATCATTCGTGTATAGGAATGCCAGAGATTTTTGTGCATTCATTTTGTATCCTGCTACTTTACCAAATTCATTGATTAGCTCTAGTAGTTTTCTGGTAGCATCTTTAGGATTCTCTATATATAGTATCATGTCATCTGCAAACAGTGACAGCTTTACTTCTTCTTTTCTGATTTGGATTCCTTTTATTTCTTTTTCTTCTCTGATTGCTGTGGCTAAAACTTCCAAAACTATGTTGAATAAGAGTGGTGAGAGTGGGCAACCTTGTCTTGTTCCTGATCTTAGTGGAAATGGTTTCAGTTTTTCACCATTGGGGATGACGTTGGCTGTGGGTTTGTCATGTATGGCCTTTATTATGTTGAGGGGAGTTCCCTCTATGCCTACTTTCTGCAGGGTTCTTATCATAAATGGGTGTTGAATTTTGTCAAAAGCTTTTTCTACATCTATTGAGATGATCATATGGTTTTTCTCCTTCAGTTTGTTAATATGGTGTATCATGTTGATTGATTTGCGTATATTGAAGAATCCTTGCATTCCTGGAATAAACCCCACTTGATCATGGTGTATGATCCTTTTAATGTGCTGTTGGATTCTGTTTGCTAGTATTTTGTTGAGGATTTTTGCATCTATGTTCATCAGTGATATTGGCCTGTAGTTTTCTTTCTTTGTGACATCTTTGTCTGGTTTTGGTATCAGGGTGATGGGGGCCTCGTAGAATGAGTTTGGGAGTGTTCTTCCCTCTGCTATATTTTGGAAGAGTTTGAGAAGGATAGGTGTTAGCTCTTCTCTAAATGTTTGATAGAATTTGCCTGTGAAGCCATCTGGTCCTGGGCTTTGTTTTTTGGAAGATTTTTAATCACAGTTTCAATTTCAGTGCTTGTGATTGGTCTGTTCATATTTTCTATTTCTTCCTGCTTCAGTCTCGGCAGGTTGTGCATTTCTAAGCATTTGTCCATTTCTTCCAGGTTGTCCATTTTATTGGCATAGGGTTGCTTGTAGTAATCTCTCATGATCCTTTGTATTTCTGCAGTGTCAGTTGTTACTTCTCCTTTTTCATTTGTAATTCTATTGATTTGAGTCTTTTCCCTTTTATCTTGATGAGTCTGGCTAATGGTTTATCAATTTTGTTTATCTTCTCAAAGAACCAGCTTTTAGTTTTATTGATCTTTGCTATAGTTTCCTTCATTTCTTTTTCATTTATTTCTGATCTGATCTTTATGATTTCTTTCCTTCTGCTAACTTAGGGTTTTTTTGTTCTTTCTCTAATTAGCACTTTTTTTTTTTAAGTGATGGGTTTTTAGAAAGAGCTGTACTGAATAAGGAACAAAATATAATTAATTTCAGTTCCATAGCCAGGAAGAAGGGATGAGTTTTGGAGGTGAGCGTCAGGCATGTGGATTGAAGGGAAGGAGAGTGGAGATAGTCTGAGAGGGAAGGGCCACGCTTGAAACTGGCTTCACAGCGCCCCCTGTAGAAGGGGAATGTAAGGAAGCCACGGACTGACTGAGATATGGCCCTGACTCTTGCTGAGCCGGGAAATAAACAGAGAGCAAGACAGAAGGAAGGAGAATGGTACCATGAGAGATAATACAATGCTGCAAGAAGGCTAGGAAATAGAAATTCGGAGCCCTCTTACTTAAATCAGGACATTTCGAAACAGTGCCAAAGACTGTCCTTTGGAGTGATAGGACTTAATTATTTTAATTATTAGCTTGCACAAACTTTCACTGGTTAAATTTTTTTTTTTTTTGCTAACATTCTTCTCTGACTCATGGTACTTATTTTTATTACGTATTTTATACTGGTTTTATGTGTGAAAGCCCCACTAATGCACCTAGAATGTTGCACATTGAATGAGCTTCAAATATTCTGTAGACTCCTACTCTATAATTAAGTGTGGTTTAAAAAGGAACATACATACTCATGCTGATAACTTGTTCTTAAGATGTCATTATCATTGGATGTCACTGGCAGTTAGTCATTTTTATTAGCTATTAATATTCACAGCCTTTAAAGTATTACAAGTCTCTAGCTTAAAAATGGGAAAGAGAAGAGAGCTTAGATTATTTGGCTTTGCCTCCCAAGACATGGGTTGAATTTAAGCTGAAAACCATACAATTTCAACTTTTGCTATTTTCCAGGCTACTGATAGCTCAGATTAACTCCAAAATCATCTTACAACATGAAGCCAGATTAGTCAATGAAATTGTAATTTTGATTTAAAAATACTTAGATGCTGTCAAACACTGATCAACATCATCTGAACAAACAACCATAGAAAAAATGAGACGAATGGGGAAATTTGAATACTGACTGGATAATTTATATTAAGGAGTTATTAATTTTTACATGAGATAATAGTATTGTGTTTATGTATTTTTAAAATTTATTATCCTTTAGAGATATAAATGGGAGGGAAATGGATAGGAGTGAAACAAAATTAGCCATGTAGTGATAACTGTTGAATCTGAGCAATGCTTATATGGGCGTTCATTATACTTGTTCTACTTTTTTGTTTGAACTGTTTTTCATACCAAACTGTAAAAATCTGATCAGAACTTTTGCTTCTATTTGTGAATTTAAAAAGACCAGCCTAACCCAGAACAATTCTAACCCTTTAAAGTTTATCCTTTCAAAAAGGGTAATACCAGTAGGAAATCAAGTCTGTAGCTCTCACAATGCTTTTTAAATGCATATACCATCTCTTAAAACCTTTATACCTAAGCAGCTACTTTGTGCCATCTGTGAATTTTATGATGCCCTTATGGGTACAGATCCCACCAGGGGACCACCAATAGAGGCAGAGGATATGGGGAAGTCAGATCTGAATGAACATAAGACATCTTTATATGCTCCTGGTAGGTTAGGAAAATGGCCCAGATTGATTGAAGGTCAAGTAGGGATTTTGGTCTCACCAATGGATTGGGTGATCTGTGAATAAACAGGCACCCTAGAAACTGGTAGTGAGAAGGCAGTACAGCATAATGAAAATTTGAACATAAGCCAATCATAGATTCATATCTTGATTCAACCAATTAATAAATGTGATCTTACTAAACGTTACAGAGTCTCGGTTAACTCATATAGTTCCCCATATAATAGGGGGCTGTTGGGGATTAAATAAAATATGTGAAATATGAGGAAAGTGTTAACACAGCAGGTCTGGTTGTTTGGTCCTTGTATGTCAAGGGGACCGGGAACCATGATTTGACCATTGGCCAACCCTGTGGGAATGTTCTTATATTAATGGTTGATGATCATGTTTTGTGCACCTGATTGCTTTGCACGAACATCAACATTGACGATGTGCATCTGGTTTCATTGTTGGGATGCTGAGTTTCACTTGCCATGGCTGGTCATGTAGCATGATATACCTATGGGACCAGCTCTCAATAAAAGCCTCAGATGCGGAGGCTTCCCTGGGCAGAGACATTTTGCACATGTCCCTCTAGTTTGTTGCTAGAGAGATAGCATGTCCTAGGTGGCCCCAGATGGGTAAGTACTCAAAAGCGTGTGTCCAACCTCTCTAGCTTCCTCCTGATAGAGGTCTTTTTCCTGTTGCTCTTGGGCTGTATATTTTTGCTCTAATAAACCTTAGCCATGGGTATAACCTGCCTTTGAGTCTTGTGAGTTCTTTTAGTAAATCAGCAAAATTGAGGGGAGGGTGGCCTTCAGACTCACAAGACATAAAGAGACCAGTACAATGGCTGGCAAATAGTACACATTCAATATATGCTAGCTATGGCATTTAACTTATCCTGCTATATGTTACAGGGGAGTAACCTCACTGTACTAGAATATAGGCTGGGACTCCAGGACTTTGTCTGCTTTTCTTAACCATGCCCTTGGAAGAAGGAAAGGATAACCTCTCATCAGTGGGGAAGTTAGAGAATATAACTCCAAGGTTGTTCCCTGGCCTCCCACCCGTGCCAATTCAGAGTGGGAAGGTACCATGTGAAGAAAATGGGTAGGTATCAGGCCTCCAACTGGGACATTTTGAGAATGCACAACAGGGCAAACTCTTTTTTTTAAATCATTTTGAAGGGTAACAAAAAGAATGAAAAGCCTTGTTGAGAGTTATGAAGACTAGAACACTTAGACTAACATCATGGCACTCCAGGTGTGGGTGCTGGAGGCTGGACCCTTACTTTGGTAGCAGTCACAGGAGGCAGTGGTATTAGAAATGACCGTCAGGAGTTTCCCCAATGCAGCCAGAAGCAAGCACACAGAGCCATTTCCACCAAGCACTGGGCACTACAGAAAGACAGTCTTAAACTGTGAGGACTGTATGTAAACATGAAAAAAATAAGGTTAATTGGGTTGAGACTTCAATTGAGGGCTAATCCAAGGGAAAAAGGAGTCCAGGGTACCCATCTTGCAGTTCCTTTCTGTATTTATGTGTGTGTGTTTATGGTTCCCATCCAAGCGACCAGATCTAAATAAGATACCTCAAAAGAGCTTTATGCCTCTAAAATGCAATAATAATTACAATAAAATCATTTGTTATGTCATGCATTTAATTACTATTTTTCAAGTAAATTGCCTCCAAGATGGATAGGTCTAACCTCGGTAGTGATCCCAAGAGGATTTTCCCTCTATCAGGGTCTTAAAGGATGGTGAGCATAAACAGTTGGTATAAGTTTGCTTCTTCATGGGTGGTTTTAATTTTTATTGAGCCCTTAATTATTTCATGGGTGGTTTTATAGATGACTTCCTTGCATTTTATGTTGCAGATAATGGTTATCTCCTTGTCACTGTCACCATCACTGTAGTCTGTCATCATATCACTGTCATTCGCATTGCCACAGAGTGCATTGTGTCTGGAATCTATCTTATGAAAGGACTTGGAAAAAGGCTTCAGTTCGCGTGGAAAAGGTGGGTTTTGACTATTCTTCTTCTTCGCCTCTGAAATATTATTGACGAAAAACTCAGAAGCAGCTCTGCAAACAAGGCATTTTTCCTTGTAGCATAGACAAGACTTGACTGGTTGAGGCCTAGATAATATGTCTGCCCTACCTGCACTAACTGACCTCTTTAGAATAGGATGTCTGTGGCGTTTGGTGAGTTTCTGTAAACTGGATGGCTTGGGCAAGCTTTGATTTTGTGGATAGGGTGAACAAGGAGTTTTGGTTGGCCTGACCAGATATTGTAGACTGGCTAGCCAAGGTGGCCTGTTGGCCTTATTGGGATAGGATGAACTGACTTGATTGACTAGATTATGGGCATGAGCCTGCTTACGTGCCTTTTCTAGACTGTGTTTCTATGTGACTTTTCCTGGTGGGATGATCTGAATACTTTCTTGGGACTTGATGGCTTACATGACTTCTCTTGACTCAAAGGCCTGATTAACTTTTCTGTACTGGGTGGTGCGGATGTCTTTCCTGGACTTGAGAGCCCAGATAGCTTGTCTATACCGGATAGCATGGATTGTTTTTCTGGACTGCACAGACTAACTGTCTTGGAGTCACTGAATGATATTTTGGATGACCTGGATGACTTAGCCATTACACCTTCTTTCTTGACCCTGAAAATATAGAAAATTTGGAGCATGACAATTTAAATCAAAAGAGTACTATTGCTATCACCAGAAAACACAGGCTATTGTGTCATTTTAGACTTCTGGTCTTTTTTTGGCTCTAGCAGGAAAATTGAACACAGTAAGAATTGGAGTGTGGTGAAAGCCATGACTCAGGTTACAGATATGAACATATGTTGAATGCTTTTCCTTTTTCTTAATTTTACTGTTTCAACCACAGTTCATAACCATATAGTCTGCATATGGAATGACACAAAATTGTTTCAAGTCTACTGTTGAGAGGGAGAGAGATAATTTTATTTATTCCAGAAATTAAACTTTTTATAAAAAAGTCACAAGTTGATATGCAACTGAGGCACAAATGTCACAACTTCTCACGTATAAAAAAAACACTCTTTAGACCAAATTCATTGTTTTCCTATCATATTTACACCATCAAATTTTCTCTCCATACATATTTATATTCAGAATATTCCTCTAAAACCAAAGGAATGGAGCACTGGTATATTTCAGTCATCAGTCCTTGGATTGGGAAATTTTTAGGGAACTAGTATATCAGGGCCAGCCTGATCCTCCTATATGAAAGCCAGGGACTGAGATCACTGAACACAGTTAATCATTTTTCATGTTATTATATCTTAAAACGGTAGATTATCCAAAATGTTTTATTGTCTTTGGAATGCAGAGACCCAGTGCCTTCTCTCTCCCCTTTTTCATTCTGTCTTATTCAGATAGTCATTCCCTCTTTTCCTAGACTCAATTTATAATGAAATTAGCAGCCTGGGGCTCAGCTGAACCCTGAATAAGGGACAGCTTTGGCTAAAGTTGATAATGTACTTGAAATAATTTGAGCTGATATCATTTAAGTGAAGGTATCCACCCACAAGATGTTGGTAGCTCTTTTGAAGTCTAAAGTTAACATTAACTAACCATAACAACAACGAAAACTCCTACATGTATACACACACACACACACACACACACACACACACCTTGCATTCTTAATTCAAAGGTGTAAAACTTACGTTCCTGCTTTGGGGGCATCATTGCTCATACAGTAATAATGGAGAAAGCAAAAACAGGTATAAAAAAAGCTATGATCATAACACCAGTTATGATAATGAGTAGATGTCTCCTAAAATTGTCCAGTTTGGTCTCCATTGATTCACGGTGCTTGGCTCCTGTCAAAGAGATTGTATCACCAGAAAATGTGTCAGGTAACCAAGTTTCCTTCCACTTTGATGGTGGTTTGTCACTGTAGGTCAAAGTCAAATCTCTTCATCAATTATTTTTTTAAGCATGGTAAGTGTCCCACTGTTATTTTCTTCGCTCTATCAGGTCCCCAGCCACAGTCTAGAAGCCAAATCTGGGAGGTATCTCCGGCTAATGAGTATAATTACTCGGATTACCCCTGCATCATGGCTTGCTCGACCCATTACCTAGGTTTTTGAGTGTGTGTGTATGTCTTGCATGTGTGAATGCACTTGAGTGTTAATGTATAGGTGGATGTGTACGGTGGGAAAAGGGATAGGACAAGAAAAAGCCCTTCTCGGGCTTCCCTGGTGGTGCAGTGGTTGAGAGTCCGCCTGCCGATGCAGGGGACGTGGGTTCGTGCCCCGGTCCGGGAAGATCCCACATGCCGTGGAGCGGCTGGGCCTGTGAGCCATGGCCGCTGAGCCTGCGCGTCCAGAGCCTGTGCTCCGCAACGGGAGAGGCCAAAAAAGGGAGAGGCCCGCGAACCGCAAAAAAAAAAAAAAAAAAGAAAGAAAAAAAAAAAGAAAAAGCCCTTCTTGAAACCTACTGTGTCTTAGGTACCATGCCACATTCATTCACATAGCATTTTCTCGTTTGGCTGGTGGGGGGTGCGGTGGGGGGGGGTGGATTGGGTGGGGAAGGGGAGTGAAAGGGGGCAACATGTCTGTACTCTTTATGCTTCTATGTTGCTTGGAATTTTTACACAGAAGTAAAGCTCTTAGGTGTTGTCCTAGAAATTCTTGAAGACCTACTAATAGTAACATCCAAGAAACAGCAGATTTCTTAAACACAGCTAGCTTGCCTAATTAAATGCTTGAATGCATAATATAATAGATCATAATTTCTAAGTTTTAAGGTTAAGCACATAACCTGTAGTAGACGGTTCATCTCTTTGGTTTGTATTTAAACAAGTATTTGTCCAAATGGGTAAAAGTAGGACATAAATAAAAAGATTCATGTCCAGGGCCTTGTTCAAATGCTTCTTCTACCAAGGAAACTACTGGATTTGATATGGTTCAGCTTGTTCTAGGGGTTTATGACATTATCATTCTGTGTCATATTCTGGCAGCATAATCTCACCATGGGGAGGCATGAGCTTCTGTGTACAAATATTATCAAATGACTTTTAATCATTTATTTCTCCTTTACATCAAATATTCTATCAAATTTGAATCAAGAAGACTGGGACATTATTAAGCACAGAGGGAAGTACTTAAGAGAAGGTAGAGAAACTGGGATAGCTCTAGATATTGAAGAACTATTTTTCCTTATTAAATGTTAAGGAGGCACCTTGCAGCCTTGTCATAGTCTTCTGTGTTATAGAGGTTAAATCGTCTTGGGGTATAAGTTTTTAGGATTTTTTTCTTAGTAAAATTAAGATTTTGAGTAGCCCCTCAACCTTTTTATTGAGCTGCTATTAACCATCAGGCTGAAGCTCAGTCCAATCATTCATTTATTCAACAAACATAGAGTATTCCTATATGCCAGACACCATGCTTAATGCTGCAGATCCTAAAATAAGCAAGATAAAAATTCTTGCACTCCTGGAATTTATATTCAAGTAGAGAATTCAAGTAATTACAAGATAGTGTGAAGTGGGCTGTATTAAGACTACGCACAGTGTTTGGGGAGAGAAAGATCATTTTAACAATGATTGGAGAGAATGGATTAGAGGGGAGCTCTGTCTGTTTGTGGGGAGACCACTTACGGAGAAGAGAAAAGATGGTTACCAAAATTGAGGTATTGAGGATGAGATAAATGGGTGAATTTTTGGAAATAATAAAGCAGTTGAATAGACATGATTTGGTTCTTGATTGATTGTTAGAGTGAAGGAAAGGGAAGAGTCGAGGACAGATCAGAAGTCTGGCTTGGACAACTGAGTAGCTCTTGGTCCTGTTCATTGAGACAGAGGACACAGGAGAAGCTGCAGCTTTGAGGAGAATGGGAGTAGTAGAAGTTGATGAGTTCAGTCTGGGTCATGTTGAACTTAAGGTTCTCATGAGATATTCAAGTACACATATCCAGAAACCAGTTAGAGTTCGGAAGATGATTTAGGCTGGAAGTCATCAGCATCTAGAACAGGGCTTCTTTATGCTTTTTGTGCCATTGGTAGTCTGGGGAAGCCTGTGGAGCCCATCTCAGAATGATATTTTTAAACGTACAAAATGAAATGTATAGGGTTACAAAGGAAATGGATTATACTGAAATAGAGTTATCAAATACAAAATTTGTGATGTAGTAATATATGTAATTACTGATTCACTAAATAAAGAGATCTGGCAGTGGATCTAATAACTACTATACACTGAAATGATAAGCATAAACAATATTTTGTGGTATCTGCAACAACTGTAATATATGAAAATAGATATGATTTCTAATACTGACAAAGTCACAGGCACAGGTTATATACTACTGTGGTTTGTTGCTTACATTCATAATTGGGAGAAATACTAAATTTTCTTTAGAGATTGGTGAAAATAAAAATGTTTTTTATCCATTCAAGTTTACAAATTGCCTGAATTCAATTCCTGTATCTAAGTCAGAAACCCAATCTAGAAGCTAACTGAAACCCATAGGAATGGATGAGATCAACCCAAGGAGAGAAGGTAGAGCAGGCAATGTGCCCAGGACCAAACCCAGAGGAATCCCAACATTTAGAAATTTAGTAAAGGAGCCTGATCTAGCAAAGAAAACCCAGAAGTGCCAGAGAGGAAGGGAGGAGAACCAGGAAAGTGTGAGGTCCTAGAAACCATGGTAAGAGAGTTTTTCAAGGCACTGGGAGTAGTGGCAGTGACAAATACTGCTAAATATCTGAGACAGATAAGGACTGAAAAGAAGTTAAAATGGATTTAATAACAGAAAGGTCACTAGTGATTTAGGCAAGAGCACTGTTTCAGTGGAAAGGCAGAGACGGAGGCCAGATTTCAATGGGTTGACGAGTAACTGAAGCTGAGGAAGTGGAGTCAGCTAGTGTAGACAATTCTTTCAAGTATGACTGCAAAGGGGAAAAATAGGGTGCTTTCTAGAGGGGGATGGTGGACCTGGGGAGGACATTTTGTGAGAAGGAAAAGAACTTCTCAATTAAAAGCTGATGGGAAAGAACTAGTATGGGGGAAGATATTGAAGCCACAGAAAAGAGTGAGGATAAATGATAGAGCCAGGCTCTTTGGGAGCAATAAAGAATGCCATAGTTATCCTCCCAGTGGGTACAAGTGCAGATCAAAAAGTCGGAATTGGATACAGAGCCATGCAGGATGGGCATGGGGATGGGAATAAAAGGCTTAGGGGGAGGGATTTGAAGAATTTCTATCTGAATGCTTCTGTTTTCCTAGTGAATGAAGAGGGGAAGTCATCCTTTGTTGAGGGTTAGAGGTTTGAGGACAGTGGGGAAGGTTTTGGAATAGATGCTGTGGAGAATGGAAAGACTGAAGAAACTATCTGATGTGATGTGATTGGGCATTTTGCCCTTTTTCTGGCTTAAGAGAAAAATGTTTCCCTTTAATGATAAAGCTGTTTCTATGGCAGTTGATGTGTTTATTAAGTTAAAAAATTAATCATCATGATGAATACTACTTGGGAAGTAAATGTTAATCAGGGATGCTACATAACAGCATTCAATTTTTTGAAGAATTTTCCCTAACAGTCATATTAAGTGGCTCTATAATTAATGGACCAGTACATACTGTTCAAGCAGCTGACTCATCTCAGAGCTCTGAAGCCTAGGCCCCTAAAGCAAGGGAACGACGAAACCTTTGCTTAGTAGATGCTCCGGTCTCCCTTTGTTCAGCCTGTCCTCTGCCTGCCCTAGTTTCAGCATCACATATGAACAAGGGCAGCCTATTTGCAGGAAATTTCCCTGGAGAGGCCTGCGTGGTTACAGGGTTCTGTGGCAATGGCGAAAACACAGTGCATTTCCCCAAATTGACTGGCTCTTTCAGTTTTGTGTTGCATCACCAGTAAGTCATTCTGAAATATTTATTGAGGGCTTCTTATGTGCCACTGGGGTTTCAGTGGGAGAGACTAATGGGGTGGGGGAAAGACATTAAACGAAAATAAGCAGTGATAGATATTATAAAGGTGCTAGGAGAGCCGCAAATAACAGGTTTGATTTCATCAGGAGGGTCAGAGGAAGTTTTCCTGAGGAAGCAATACTGGGGCTGAGTTCTGAAAGATGAATAGCAGTGAATTATGAGAAGAAGAAAGATAAGAATGTCCTAGGTGGAGGAGACACATGTGCAAACACCCTGTGGTGAAAGGGAGAGCAGCAAGTTAGAGATAGCAAAAAAGGTAAGAGTTGAGACTAAAGAAGTTTGGGCCTTGTAGGTCAAACTAAGTGCATAAAGTTGGACTTTATTCTACGAATAACGGGGTACCACTGAAGACTTTCTGGCTAGAGAATAACCTGGTAAGATCTGCATTTTAGAAAAAACACCCTGGCTGTTGTATGGGGAATAGATTGGCGGGGCATGAGTGGAAGAAAGTAGGTGAGACAATTAGAAGACTGTTACATAGGTCCAGGTGATAGAGGATGATGGCTTGAAGCAGGGTAGTAGTGATAAAGATGGAGAAAAATTGACGAATTTGAGGAATATTTTGATGGTGGGTAGGACTTGATGAAGGGTAGGCCATGGGGCATGAAGGGGAGAGAGGTAGCAAGGATGATTAATTCCTTCAACGAAAATGTGTTGGGTGTCTGTGTGACTTTCCCTTTCCCCTATATGCTTTGCGTTAAGCACGAGCATTCAAATAGACACAGTCCCTGCCTTCAAGGAGTTTGAAATCTAATGGGAGAGAGAGACACGTAAATAACCAATCACTAAGCTGTGTAATGTCTCGCAGGCTGTGATGTCGCAGGGTACAGTGCCACAAGAGCACACAAAAGGAGTATCTATTCAAAGTGGGGAGTCCTGGAGATGACCCTTGAGCTGAGATGGGGTTTTTAATTCATTTGTTTTTAAATGTGGGTAGGAATTCCTTGAACCCAAATAGGAAGGGAAAGAACATTGCATTGCACAGGCTTCAATATGTGTGAAGCGTGGTTGAGGGAACTTCATTTCCATGTGGCCAAAATGAAGACTCTGGGGAGGGGCTAGCTGGAAACAAAGCTGGAGTGGGTAAGCGGGGTAACCCTTATAAAAGGGTTGTGTGCTAAGGGCCTTTCTTTAAGTGTGTTTCCTCATCTTTAAAATGAATAGAAAAAAGATGAAAGGGTAAGCCTGTAAGGGTAGCAGCCTTCGAAATCATCCTTTTGGGACCATTGGAATAGAACAAAACTAAATATTCTTTGGAAAATAAAATTCACTTTTACCCTGAAACTCTAAATAATCCTGCTCTTCAAATACCTTTTAACTGTATAAAGATCAGAAAATGCCATTTTTACACAATGTTATATGTCAATTGTATCTCAATAAAGCTAGGAAAAAAATTGTTTTTTAAAGTTACTTTATTGCTTTTTTTTTTTTTTTTTTTTTTTTTTTTTGCGGTACGCGGGCCTCTCACTGTTGTGGCCTCTCCCGTTGCAGAGCACAGGCTCCGGACGCGCAGGCTCAGCGGCCATGGCTCACGGGCCCAGCCGCTCCGCAGTATGTGGGATCTTCCCGGACCGGGGCACGAACCCGCGTCCCCTGCATTGGCAGGCGGACTCTCAACCACTGCGCCACCAGGGAAGCCCTTTATTGCTTTTTGAATCAAATAATCTTAATTTGGTGCTTATAAAGTAAAAGAATATCGGTCAGCCCTTTAAAAAAATAATTAATTAATTTTTGGCTGTGTTGGGTCTTTGTTGCTGCGCACGGGCTTTCTCTAGTTCCGGCGAGCGGGGGCTGCTCTTCGTTGCAGTGCGAGGGCTTCTCATTGCGGTGGCTTCTCTTGTTGCAGAGCATGTGCTCTAGGCGCGTGGGCTTCAGTAGTTGTGGCACGCGGGCTCAGTAGTTGTGGCTCATGGGCTCTAGAGCA